CAATGCAGTCTTTTTTTTTTTTTTTTTTTTTTTCTTTTTTTGTCAGTAATATAAGAGTTGATTAAAATCTGAATGCAATGCAGTCTTTTTTTTTTTTTTTTTTTTTTTCTTCCTGTGAGTAGAAAGTGGTTTTTAAAAACCAAAAAATTAAAATATATATTTCAGGGTTAAACTTATCCTTTGTGTATTTTGTATTTTTTTTCCAATTTCTAGGCAGCTGAGATTGTTTAGACCACAGTCCAAGTCTGGGGAAAACAGTATTTCCAGAATATATGTATTAGAACCCAACTCAATCTGTCCATGGGAATTTTGATCCCTCGGTCACTTATTTATTTTTATATGCACCTTTCTAGAGTAATTTTTGAACTCCCGTGAAGACATGAACTGAATTGGGGAAAAATCTGACAAAGACCCAGGGATATTTGAAAAGGAGATTTAAAAAAAAAAAAAAAAAAAAAAACCTGATATGTCAAGATGGTGAGAATCTTTGTAAAACGAAAGAGTAAAGTTGTAAATATCCTTATTTACAGATTCAGTTTTCTAATTTGGCTTTATGCTTTTAATGCATGTAGAACATTAATTTATCAGATCAATTTAAAGGGAACTTAAAGTAATATGGCTCCAAATTATAATGCATAGCATTTATAATTTTGGAATATTTGCTCGCAGTGAAATGTAACCTGTAAGAAATGCCATATTAAATGTGAATATTCCCTTTAGTTTAAATCCTATGGAGGACCAATCCTGCATAATTAAAAATACAGAAATAAATTCTCCAAAAATAAGCACACTTAATTGCCCAAAAATACAATAAACACATGTAGATTATACAGTGAGACAAATGTATATATCTTTAGTTTCATTATTTGTTTGCCTTTGTAATTTTTTAAATGTCAATTGTATGCTTATTTTTGGAGCATTTATTTCTTTTTAATTATAGCAGGATTGGTTCTCCATAAAGGTCAGCAGCGTATTCAGGTGAGTTTTGAGGACCAAAGTAAAGCACTGCTTCAGCTTTCTAGCTACATTTATACTTTACATTAACAGCTCCCCCTACTGGTTTCTTTTAACAGCGTCGTTCATCTGTACACTGCTTTCTATCGCACTGACTCCACCTAGCGGCCATTTACTCAAACTGCATCGATACAGAAGCGAACTTTTTTTATTTTTTATTTATGAATGTAAATATAAACATACAAGTCATACAATAAATTCACACTTATGATTTTTTATTTTTTTTTTACATGGATTGAGCATGTTCAACATAAACAAAAGTATGAAACTAATCCAAC